TCTGCCTAGCTTTTGGAATGCGTCTTTGGCCATCCCAATACGTCTTCGGATCTCAGCGTCGCACTTCCCTGTCATAACACTTTAATATTTAAATTTCCCCCTGCTTGATTTTAGTGTCCCCGACCTGTATCTCGTAGTAGTTCAGGACTCTTTTCTTTGTTACCAACGAAATCCTCCTGTCTCGTAATATCCCCTTTTTGGAACTGTCTTTGGCCATCCCAATACGTCTTCGGATCTCAGTGTCGCTTTTGCCGTCCTCTGTCAAAACACTTCCCAGATATTTAAATTTCCTCACCTGCCCCCCGACCTGTATCTCGTAGTAGTTCTTTTTCTTTGGAAATGCGTAGCTTTTGAACTATTCTTTGGCCATCCCAATACGTCTTCGGATCTCAGTGTCGCTCTTGCCGTCCTCTGTCAAAACACTTCCCAGATATTTAAATTTCCACCCCTTCTTGATTTTATTGTCCCCCTGACCTGTATCTCGTAGTAGTTCAGGACTCTTTTCTTTGTTACCAACGAAATCCTCCTGTCTCGTAATACTCTGCCTAGCTTTTGGAATGCGTCCCTGGCCATCCCAATACGTCTACGGATCTCAGTGTCGCTCTTGCCGTCCTCTGTCAAAACACTTCCCAGATATTTCAATTTCCGCCCCTGCTTGATTTTAGTGTCCCTGACCTGTATCTTTCGTAGGTTCAGGACTCTTTTCTTTGACCTGTATCTCGTCTCGTAATTCAGGACTCTTTTTTTGTTATCAACGTCAAAACACTTCCCAGATATTTAAATTTCTTCTGTATCTCGTAGTCTCCTTCTGTCTCGTAATACTCTGCCTAGCTTTTGGAATTCGTCTTTGGCCATCCCAATACGTCTTCGGATCTCAGCGTCGCACTTACCGTCCTCTGTCAAAACACTTCCCAGATATTTAAATTTCCGCCCCTGCTTGATTTTTTTTGTGTCCCCGACCTGTATCTCGTAGTAGTTCAGGACTCTTTTCTTTGTTACCAACGAAATCCTCCTGTCTCGTAATACTCTGCCTAGCTTTTGGAACTCGTCTTTGGCCATCCCAATACGTCTTCGGATCTCAGTGTCGCTCTTGCCGTCCTCTGTCAAAACACTTCCCAGATATTTAAATTTCCTCACCTGCTTGATTTTAGTGTCCCCGACCTGTATCTCGTAGTAGTTCAGGACTCTTTTCTTTGTTACCAACGAAATCCTTCTGTCTCGTAATACTCTGCCTAGCTTTTGGAACTCGTCTTTGGCCATCCCAATACGTCTTCGGATTTCAGTATCGCTTTTGCCCTCCTCTGTCAAAACACTTCCCAGATAGTTAAACATCCGCTCCTGCTACTATGAGATAAATGGCACGTTAATCGGCGTGATAATGTACTGCTTTTTAAATCAACGGGATTACTTGGTTTATTATTATTGGAGAAACATTCGCCATGTGAGAAAGCTAAATCATTAATATTGTTTGTTTATTTTTTTTTTAAATATTTCATTGTTTTCCGGACAGAACTTCAATTACAAGGAAACACTAATTATTGATTTCTAAAAATTGACAGTTCAGCAATTTTGCTTGACATTTCCATCAAAAAATTTATGAGTTTATTTCTATGAAAATTCTTTTTTTAAATTCCTTTGCCTGCATTAATTGATAAATTGGACATGGCATTCAGTTTGAAATAATTAGCTCGTTTTTTATTGTTTTATTCGTACAAAATTTTGATTAGTTTCTCAACCTTCCTAAATTCATCAAATCCTTTCTAAATGCTTTTCTATAATATTTCTATAATATTTCAAATTGCATTTCTATAGTAAATCACATGCAACGATAATAATGCATTTCCCTATCGACCTTTCTACAGTTTTTTTAAGCATTCAACCCCAAGCAAGGCGGGTATTCCCTAGCACGCAAAGGGTTTCATTGTAGGAGCAAGAACAAAGAGGAGTGATAGAGGAAAGGATGAAGAGACTGTTAGGGGATAGATCAGGGCGTCTGGAGACGTCGATTGACGTTACATTTGAATAGTTGGAGATTATAGTTATCAGTAAAACAAGAAATGGAGAGGGAGTTCCACAGGCGAGAAGTGTGAGACATGAAGCTATTGGAGCAGAAGAGACGACAGTGAAAGGGTGAGAGCAAGGATGTCACTAGAGTCTAGACACATCGGTAAAAATACATATTTTCAAGAAATTAAAATTTCAACAATATTTTATTGATTCACATAAAAGTACACCTAAACTCTGGCAGGATTTGAACCTGCGTCTTCCTTTGCAAGAGAAAACATCATTTGATCTGATGTAATTTCGACCTTTCAACTTTGAAAAGCTTCATACACATTCATTGTCGAAGAATGCCAGGCAAGTATTTATAATCAAACGATTCCAGGTAAGCAATCATATTCATAACCAAGTGGTCAAAAGCATGTGGGATCAAATGACTGTTTCTCCTGCAAAGGGGGACACAAGTTTGAATCCTGCCAGGTGTTGCATCATTCTATAATTATATAAAAAATATATGAGAGTTCTGTAGAATTGAGATAAAATGTAAAATCTAGCACACTGCTTGAAACACCAAATGTGGTAGAACCATGGTAGCAGAAAGGTTTCTTTTTCTATATATATATATATGCTTTCAAGAAATTGGAATTGGAATATTAACAAATAACATCTTCAATATGATTTCCATCATTTGTGGTGCAAAGGCTGATGCGCTTTGCAAGATTCATGTGAACTCGATGCAATAACTTCACATTGCCGTCAATTTTAGCACCTTCACTCTTTATTCATTCAATCAAGTGTGTTGCATCTGTGGTTTTCATTGAGTACACCTACTTTAGCAGCCAATTATTCCTATTTGAGACAAACCATATTTAATCTGTGAAAGTAAAAAAAATATAGTTAATGAGATTTCTAATGTGTCCAGATTTTAGACACACCCTGTATATTTAGATACATAGATAGATAGATTACTACACCTACTCTCTCTCTCTCTCTCTCTCTCTCTCTCTCTCTCTCTCTCTCTGACATAGCTCTGATGAAGGCTATAACTTGTCCCTTGTTGACCTCGAAATGTGTAAAAAGAAAGACACTCAGCTTTGGATATACTTCCTTCCCATTTCAAGTTGTCTTTTTTTACTTTATTTTTACAAAGAGGACACAGATTTATGTGTCTCTCTCCTCACATTTTCCTCCTTAAAATTCTTTATGAAACGAATATCGATAAATTAAATCTAGCGTGAGAAAGTGGAAAAAAATCTAGCTTACTGCCTGAAGACACCGAATGTGGTGAAGCCATTGTAGCGAAAAGGTCAGTTTTTCTATATATAATTTTCTAAGAAATTAAATTTTCCACAACATTTTATTGAATTTGAATATTAACAAATAAAATCATTAATATAATTACCATGATTTGCGATACAAAGGTTAATGCGCTTTACAAGATTCACGTCAACTCAATGCAATAACACTACATTGCCATCAATTTGAGCACATTCACTCTTTATACATTCAATCAAGTGTGTTGCATCTGTGATTTTCATTGAGTACACCTTCTCCTTTCGTATACCCCAGAAAAAGAAGTCAATTCTTTTTAACACCCTATTTATCATCTCTCAGTTGCGTCTCTGTCTTTGGGCAGAATACGCCCAGGGGCGGCTCCGTCAACGGACAGAGACGCAATTGAGGAAAATTATATTGAAGAGGTTCCCAGTCCTGGGGAACAGCTGCCCGAGACTGTACCCTTTCATTGCACTACAGAGAGAAATCGGTGCACGCATTTAGGCGAGCACAACCGACGGTTGCGGGGCTAAGGAAATTTTTGTCCCTAACCCGGGTGTCCGCGCTCGGGCTCCCCACATTAAACCGACGTTGTGTCACAACGTGACTCCGTTTAGATTAAATATCACATTACAATAAAGTAGAACATAGGCTATTAATCTCAGAATTCGGTTGGGGGGGATTGAGCTCCAGTTTCGCATTTATCCATACAGGTTTCCATAATACAGATTTTACTTAATATAGCTATTATGTTTCTCTAACTCTTCAAATGTTGAATGTATAACTAAGTCTAATTTCTATTTTCCCATCTTTACACTATATTAATTTTATCTAATAAATTGTCCCCTGTTCTGTCAGCCATGAAATAAAAATAATTGTTTGTACGGAAAATAAGGATCTTTAAATTTAAGCGAGCTTAAAATCTTAAGCTAGCTGCAATCTTGGATACAAAAGGAAGATAAGAGTTGCTCCGCTTGAACCAGAAAAGCAACGATAATGGCTAGGATGATATAATAATATATACTTCGCATAATCTGGTAAACCTGAATCTGAACTCAACGAAAATCGTTCCCTGCACCTAACTTTTCTAGGGCTTTGGAATCATTGAAATCGAAACGGTGGGATTTGCTTGGACTCACACACATACACTGTACTTTATATATAAGATATATATATATATATATATATATATATATATATATATATATATATATATATTTTCTGTATATATATCATTCATTTCTGTAGTTCATTGCCAACAGCAAGCAGATATATTTCTCCTCCCGATGATGGCCATTTCGATCGAAA